CCTTGTGTCCCCTCTCATGACCCCATTTACCATTTATCTGGACAACTTTTAGAAAAGTATACTTGTGATGCCTGTTGCTAATACATTTTGCTTAAGGTGGTTTCTACTTATTATCTTTACCTATATTTGAAGTTTTTCCAGAATGAGGTCAATAAATACAAAACAAAAAGGAAGAAAGAAAAAGAAAAGAAAAAATTATAACATCAAGTAATTCCTATTGTAAAAGTTTCCATGGGTGGTGGTGGGGGAGTGGTGATTTCAACATTACAGTCCCTAGGCATCTCATCTGGGATGGAGTTCACAGTCATATTTAGCATCTTCGATGACTTTGGTTTGCACAGGGAAAGAACTGGCTGTCAGTATCAGAATGGGATGGCATCTGAAAGTAAGAGAAAAAAAGAGACTCCTTCATCAGGCTCTCTGGTCCATGCCTAGGGCAGGTAGAGTGGTCCCTGGAAGATGATTAAGAAAGAGTAGAGTGTGAGATGGAGAAAGACAGTAATGGGGGATACTACTGACTTTAAAAATAAAACACAGCTTTTATGCTACAGCTCATATAGATCATGCACTTGTAATTTTTCCCACATAGCCAGCACCCTTCTCTATTACTCTTTACTGACAATAATGGGGGGAAAACAGATTTCTGTGAGTCCAATGTAGTATCTGACAAACATTTCTGGGCAGGCAGCATCCTTACAGATTACACACCCAGTAGCCTGATAAGTCCACCAACTTAATACTTTCTTTCTCTGTTTACTTTCTTGTAAATAAAATATAGGGACTCTAAACATGGGAAAGTCCAGTGGAAGAAAATAGAGCATGATAGATATAAACTCTCACTAGATGTTCTTCAGCCCATTAGCATGGCTTCCAAATTTCCCTATTTTCCCCTGAGCATGAAGAAATTACATTTTTATTGTTAAAGGTGAATACCCTAGATTTGTAAGTTGTTAATTTAAGAGAATAGATATGCTATATACATTATATTTGGCAGAGAAGAAAAAATCGAACCTTGATAAATGATTACTCCTGAAACTGTCCATTTTTAAGAAGCTAATCCATAATATTGACAGAAATAATAGTTTAGTCTGATATTACATAAAATTTATCAAAATAGGACTCATGATGATTGGAAATATTTTTACTTGAAAAGATTTTATCTAATTTATGTATTTTATTGTTGAATACGTGAGCATTAAGATGTTACTAACCATGCAACTATTTGGCAGACAAGAAGAAAATGTGATTTCAAAGTTTAGAGGTTGACTGAATTTAGACTACAGTAGATATCAGAAGCTTAATAGCAGGACAAGTTAGTGTGTAGATGTCTGCTATATGTATTATCTCTAAAGCAGTATTTCACACTAGAAGAAAACAAAATGTGATAGATCTGAGAATACACAATGATTTTACAGGAATACTTTTGATTTTTGGAAAAAAGGGTATTAGTAAATATTATTATGGCTATGTCTACTTAGTCCTCCAAACATATAAGGAAGTCTACTACCATTATATTAAAATTTATGAAAATATTTTTGTCAAAGTGATTTTTATATGTTTTTTCTTCGAATATAGTTATGGTCAGACATTTTTATTATTGCTAGAGAAGGTACAGCATATTAAACAATACAGGAAGGTATCCTGAAACAGAAAAAAGACATTATGGCAAAGTTGAGGAAATCTGAATAACATACGGATTTTAGTTAATATCAATATCAATATTGGTTTATTAATGATGACAAATGTACCATACTAAAGACATAGATAATAGATGAAACTGGATATGAGGTATATGGGAACTGTCTCTGTTCTATCTTTGCAATGATTCTGTAATTCTAACCTGCTCTAAAATAAAAAAGTTACTTTCTAAAAGAAAAAAAAAACCACAGTCAATATTTCCCCCCAAATTCTGAAGTAAATAAATAAATAAATATTTCTTATGTGGACAGATTATATGTATATGCTTATATGGAATGCACACTTATACTCACGTATATACACACACACACATACACAGCAAAACTTTAGTCTTCTTAAAGATTTTTTTTTCGTTTATGTCTTCTATTACTAAGAAATCAAATAAATTTACACTCCATTTTGGAAGTGAAAGTTTAAAATTACTATACATAAGGATGGAGAAAATAACCCTATTACAACCAAAATAAATCAAAGCATAATACTGAATGAGAAAGAGTAATATTTCTAGTTTAATACAATGTTTAATATTAAACTAATATGCAGTTTAACTGATATTTCTAAAATAGAGCATCATTAAAATAACTTTTTGGTTAAAATGGAATCACATTATTAAGGATTTGTCAAAGAGAACAGTAGTCAATTCTTTTAGTAACATTCAATATAGAATTTTTTAGTGATTTGTTTACTTATTTGTTTAAATTATGCATTTGTATTGAATTTTCCTATGCTTTTAAATGTGAAATAAAAACTTCTGCTTTTTTTTTTTTTTTTTTGAGTTGGTGTCTCACTCTGTCACCCAGACTGGAGTGCAGTGGCTGCTCCCAGCCACCGCAGCCTCGACCTGCTGGGCTCTGGCAATCCTTCCGCCTCAGACTTCCGAGTAGCCGGAATTACAGGCATGCGCTACCAGGCCCGGCTGATTTTTTGATTTATTGTAGAGATGAGGTCTCGCTGCCCAGACGGGTCTCGAACCCGTGGGCTCAGGCAATCCATTCACCTCAGCCTCCCAAAGGTGCAGGATTACAGGCTGAGCCACCGAACCCGGCTCAAAACTTCTGCTTTTTAAATGTTTGTCTAAATTTACTGTATATACTTTTAGCTTCTCACATTCCTATTCTATTTTCCTAATTTCCTCAAAAGTTACAAATGTAAGTTTAAATAGAAATATTTCAAATAGTGTGTGTGTGTGATTTCCATTGAATTTTTATTTTTTCATGTGCCTCATTATATTTAAGAAAAAGTAAATCTATAGTGAAAAGCAACAGCTATATTTAGTTTTCATTTTGAACTTTATCAGTACACTGAATATTCAATCTGTCTTTACTTGCAATTTCATCGGATTATCAAATGATACATATGTGTGTGTGTGTGTGTGTGTGTGTGTGTGTATATATATATATATATATATATATTTCAAATATATATAAAGTAGAGAAATGTAGAACCATGTATAAACATTGGGTGACTTCCCAAACAGTTGAATCCACTAATTTTGGCCTTTTCTAGTTTTTTAGATACATTTTTTTTTTTTTTTGAGTTGGAGTCTCACTCTGTCACCCAGACTGGAGTGCAGTGGCTGCTCCCGGCCACCGCAGCCTCGCCTGCTGGGCTCCGGCGATCCGTCTGCCTCAGCCTTCCGAGTAGCCAGAATTACAGGCATGAGCTACCATGCCCGGCTGATTTTTTGATTTATTGTAGAGATGAGTTCTCACTGCCCAGGCGGGTCTTGAACCCGCGGGCTCAGGCAATCCACTCATGTCAGCCTCCCAAAGGTGTGGGATTACAGGTTGAGCCACCGAGTCCGGTTTTAGATACGTTTTAATCTAATGATTTGCAAATTTATTTAAGCTTTCATATCCTGTGGTTTAATCTGTGAAATTACTAACCTGTCACTCCCCTCTTCTTTCTAAAGGTGTATCATCAACTAAGCTGCATTGAAATATTCAATAGGTTTTTATAGGTGTTTGGGAAAAATATTTAAATTCCTGTGAGGATGTTTGAAGATACATTGAGGTGTCACAAATTTTAGACTTAGAAATATTAGTTTTCCATTTAGAAATTGATTTTTTATTATCGTAAAGTCATAAATAATCAATCATGCAAATTAATAAGATGAGAGCAAACACATTTTCAAAAGGAATCAGAATGCAGTAATGTTATTTTATCTCAAAAGAGGTACTTTATTTTTAATTATCTCTTTGTAAGTAACATTTTAAAGAAGGGTATTTGTCTTGGGTGTCAAAAAAGTCATTGAACTAGAGAAGCTATCTGCAAAATTATAATTCAAAATCCTAAATGACTTGCAGATTTTTTTCTAGGTTTTGGTAGAACAATGATCTACTTGAATGAGAGTCTATCTTCTAATGTCAGAATAATGGTTGCCCACATCAATTCACTTAGTGCATTCTCGAGAGAGTCACTTCCAGGTATATTATACTCTTACACTACTCTCATACTATTTATAAGTAGAATGACTATATAATTATTATTCAAATCAGAGCACTGTTGTACATGAAGAAGGGTACTACTAATAATTATCCAGATAGCCGGCATAAACTAAGATTGTTCTAAGCAAACAAGGAGATATTGCCAACTTCTTTCAAGACTTCCTGCTCTATGGTTAGAAAGTTTGTTTATTGGAAGTTTCTCACATTGAGTAGAAATCTTTTTTTTTTTCCATTTTAATCCAAGGGCTACCAGAATAAATATAATGTGTTTTTATTCATTTATAGGTAAGTTTCTATGATGATAGAAATTTAGAGTTAGAAAGATCGGATTAAAAACTCATATATAATGATTTATTCATCCCCAACTAAAACATCCCTAGACAATCATCTTGATTTTGAATACATCTAGAAATCCTCACGGCATTGAAAATCAATCAATTATCCTATATTTGGCTTGAAAGTTTCTTGGTCAAGAACTTAAAATTGTCTCTGTATAATTTCTTATATTCTGAATCTGAACAAATGTCTATGCTCTCCCAAATAATAGCCCCTTTTAATAAAAACACTGCACCCTTCTTTCAAGTCAATGCTCCCATTCCTTTAACTGTTTGTTTATATAACTTGGGTCAAAGGCTAATGCTAAATGTATCACCCAAATTTCATGTGCTGGAAAATTAATCCCCAAATCTTTATGTTGATTGAAGGTGGAGCCTTTGGGAGTTAATTAACTTTCGATAAGCTCATTGGTTTGGAGCCCTCATAATGGGACGGGTGGCTTTATAAGAAGAGGAAAAGAAAGTTGGCACACATGCTCTTGCCCTCTCACCATGTGACGCCCCTCACCTGTTATGACATAGTAAGAAGTCCTTTGCTAGACAGTGACACCATGCTCCTGGGCTTCCCAGCCTCTAGAACTGTAAGAAATAAATTTATTTTTTTAATAAACTACTCAGTCTATGGTATTCTGTTATAGAAACAACAACAACAAAAACGTGGACTAAGAGAGAAGAGCGGTACCAAGAAATAGAACTATTGCTATAATAAATACCTGAAAATGTGGAAGCGACTTTGGAATTGGGTAATGGGTAGATGCTGGAAGAGTTTGGATGAGCAGGCTTGAGAAAGCCTATATTATCATAAACAGAATATTCAGGACAAATTCAGTGATGGCTTAGAAGAAAAGAAAATCTGTAGGAAAAATCGAAATTTTGTTAGGGATTATGTAGGTGGTCGTGATCAGAATGTTGGTAGAAATATGTACAATAAAGGTCATTCTGATAAGGTCTCAGAAAGAAATAAGAAAAAAAAAAGTATTGGAAACCTAAGTAAAGGCCATCCTTGTTATAAAGTAGAAAATAGCTTGGCAGAATTATGCCTGTATCCTAGGACTTGTGGCATACAGAATTTAAGGGTGATAAACTAGGATATGTAGCAGAAGAAATATCTAAGTAGCAAAGCTCCCGGGTTGCTGCCTGTTTACTTTTAACTGCACACAATGAGATGCTAGAGCAAAAGAGCAACTTAAAAGCAGAATTTATAATTAAAAGAGAAACAGGAATGAAAGATGTAGAAACTTTGAAGCATGGTGTTGTAAAGAACAAAAAAGCTTGCTTGGGAGAGAAAACTAAGGGTGAGGACAAGTGACCATTTGCTAAAAAGATTTTCATGCATAGAAGGGAGCCAGGTGTTATTTATGAAGACAATAGAAAAAAAGACCCCAAAGGCATTTCAGAGATCTTCAAAGTTTCCATGCCCATCACAGGCCCAGATATCTAGGAGGGCAGAATAGCTTTGAGGGATGGGCCTGAGACACTCTTCATGGGCTTGTTGTCCAGGGCTGCCTTGTGTCTCTGCTTTCTGCAGCTCAGTGTGACGCTTTTTGGCGAACCTACATGTGTTTCAAATGACCCCACGTGCTGTTCAACTTCTCACTTTTGAAGTTGTAAACCACAAATCGTGGCAGCACTCTTGTGTTGTTAAATCTGCAAGTGCACAAAATGCAAGCACTGTGGGGATGAGGATTCCTTCACATTGATTTCAAAGAATGTCCCGGATAGATTGGGGGCATTGCAGGAGCAGAGGCACTACAGATGGCCATTAATAGGGGAATGTTGGTGGAGCATAAGAAGCTAAGCCACCAGAGTCCCCACTAGTGTAATACCTAGTGCAGCCATGGGAGCAGAACTGTCACTGAGACCTCAGAGATGTAAAACTACCAGCATGCAATACTAACCTCAAGAATGCTGAAACCTAAATTAAGCCCATGTGGGTGGGGCTTCCGGAAGTATTGGTGGCCCAATACCCACACCAATGTGCTCAGAATGTAGAATATGGAGTCAAAGGAGATTATTCTGAAACTTTAAGATTTAATGTTGTTATTCCTGCTGGGTTATATACTTACTTGGAACTACTTATCCCTTTCTTCTTGTTTGTTTCTCTTTTTGAAATGAGAATGTCTATGCTATGCCTATCCTGCTATTATGTTTTTGAAGTAGATGGCTTGTTTTATTTAATTTTATTTTTTAATTTTTTAAATTATTATTATTTTTTTTTTGAGTTGGAGTCTCATTCTGTCACCCAGACTGGAGTGCAGTAGCTGCTCCTGGCCACCGCAGCCTCGACCTGCTGGGCTCCGGCCATCCTTCCGCCTCAGCCTTCCATGTAGCTGGAACTACAGGCACACATTACCACGCATGGCTAATTTTTTGATTTACTGTAGAGATGAGGTCTCGCCTGCCCAGGCAGGTCTCGAACCTGCGGGCTCAGGCAATCCACTCACTTCAGCCTCCCAAAGGCGTGGGATTACAGGCTGAGCCACCGAGCCTGGCAGACTTGTTTGATTTTAAAATCTCATGGTTGGAGGGAGTTTGTCTCAGGATGAGTCATACCATGTGTCTCACCCATATCTGGTTCAAATGACACTGAACTTCTTTGGATTTTTGAGTTGGTGCTGGAATAAATTATGAATTTGGGGTTGTGGAGATGGAATTAATGTGTTTTGCATGTGAAGAGAACATGAATTTGGCGGGCCAGGCATGAAATACTGTGATTTTAATGTGTTGGAAAATTAATCCTCAAATTTATATGCTGATTTGAGATGGAGGCTTTGGGAAGTACAATGAGATAAGGTCATTAGGGTGTGTCCTCATGTAGGGACCTGTAGCTTTATATGAAGAAGAGATCTGAGCTGTCAGGCATGCTCTTTTTCTCTTCCATAGTATGGTACAGTGAAAGCGCCCACACCAGATACCACACAACACTCTTATACTCTTCAGTCTCCAGAACCATGAGCTAAATACATTTTCAAAATAAATTACTCAATTTCTGGTATTCTCTTATAGAAACAGAAAATGGATGAAGATAGTTTTATATATAGTTTGATTTAGTTTTCACTTTGAAAATTTGAAAAAAACTGTCCTAACACTTGGGATCCATGTTCTTTTTTTTTTTTTTTTTTGAGTTGGAGTCTCACTCTGTCATCCAGACTGGAGTGCAGTGGCCACTCCCAGCCACTGCAACCTCGACCTGCTGGGCTCCAGCAATCCTTCCACCTCAGCCTTCCAAGTAGCTGGAATTACAGGCACGTGCTACCATGCCCAGTTAATTTTTGATTTATTGTAGAGATGAGGTCTTGCCAAGTTGCCCAGGTGGGTCTTGAACCCGCAGGCTCAGGCAATCCACTCACCTCGGCCTCCTAAAGCACTGGGATTACAGGCTGAGCCACCAAGTCCGGCAGATCTATGTTCATTAATTCCAATATGAATTCTTATTGAAAACATACTTAGAGCTTCCGGCAAGATGGCAATGAGGTAGTTTGGTCTGTAAGACCCTCAGCAAAAGAGAACACTCATAAAGACTCTTGCTCCCCTGGGGGGCTGTGGCTTTCATCGTTGCCAGCTAGCTCTTCACATGCTGTTCGGCCATCGCCACAGCCTCTGCTGCTGCCACTGCCACTGCCATTGCCCCACCCCGGCCTGAGGTAATCCATGGCTCTTGGACCTGTGAAGACCCTACCCCAAGCACTACTGAAACCACCACCACCACTGCCACTGCCAGGTCCTACCGCTCATGTAGAGCCAGGCTCATGAGGTTCCTCTCATGCACCACTAAAGAAGCAGCTGCCACCACCGCTACCGTTGCCTGCTCCCTCCTGCCCTGCGTAGCCACCAACTTCCACTCAGCCAGCCCGAGTAGCCAAGTGCAAAGCTGGCCTGCATTGCCTGGCAGTCTCAGGCTGCAGTGGAAAATGAGATCAGCTGAAGCAGTGAGACCAGCTCTATCCACCTCCGCCTCGGCCCATCTCCCTGCTTGGGATCCAAGTTAACAATGTCATAATGGGAGGGAGAGAAGTCCCTCGCCCATGCTAGATAGACATAGGTCAGATCTGAGTGGCAGATTTGGCACTCAGATCTGAACCACCCCCCACAGCAGGCCAAGGGCAACTGACCCTAACTGTGAACAACTCTTCCAGCATGCAATGAAAGCTAGAAATCAGAGAAGAAAGGACATTGGACTTAAAGGAAAAGTCTCAGAGTATGCTTGGTTCCCTTGTTTTAATTTTTTTAATTCTTTGTCTGTTTGTTTTACCCATCTTTTTTCCCTTTTCTCTCTCTTCTTACTGTTGTCAATAATGTTTTCATACTTGCTTCGGTTCTGTTAGTTTACTCTCTTTTATTCTATTTTATTTTTTTTCTCTTTAGACCTCAAGTTTGTATAGGTGAAAAGTACACCAATAAGGGGGTTGGTTAGCTTATATGTCCATATGATTGTATGTTTCAGTTTTTTCATAATGTTTGTTGGTTTGTTTGTTGTTTTTGTTTTTCTTTTTGCTCGTATCTGTCTTTGTTTCCTTTTCATTTATTAGTTGGTACATTTGTCTGTTTTCCCACTTACTCTTCCCTTTCTCCACCTCCCTCTTTCCCCCACTTCCTATTCCATTCTTTTTCCTTTTTTTTTTTTTTACTTCATTTTGCTTTCAGAAAGTAAACATATAACCCCACTGCATGGACAGATTGCAAGGCAGCAGGAAGTGGATTCCTGATTATCCATACTCCTGTCGGTGGATACTGGGATCTGCAGATGGGTTTTGAATCACAGCTTCCCCTCAATTAAATCTCAAAACTGCAGAAAGGATTGCCCCCAACCTACAGTCCATCTCCAGAATTGAGCAAAGCCAGACGATATACATAAGGAAGAATAGGAGATTGAACAAACAATTAAAAGCAACCCCTCCATCCCTGAACAACAGAATTATAGAAGATGGGGGGAGCAAAAAAAAAAAAAAAAGAAAAAAGTGGGGAGAAAAATCTACACTAATGAAGGAAAACTAAAAGAACAATGTAGGTCTCACAAAGATCCCTGGGTGGTCAGACACTGAGAAAACAGGCATCAAAACACAAACAATGAAGAGAACCCAGAATGAATGGTCACATACAACAAACCCAGACATCAAGACATTATATAGAGAATAAAAAGAATCAAGGAGAGACAAGAGGAAAATAGGAAGGAGCTGATAACTAAAATAACAGCATAAAGAATACTATGATTGAAATAAATAGCAAACTAATAAGCATGGAAAGCAGAATTAGCCAAACTGAAGAGAGAATCTCAGAGCATGAAGACCAAAATAAAAAACTAACCCAAACTGTCAAAAACATAGAAAAGAAGCTTAAAAAGACAGAACAAAACTTTCAAGAGATGAATGATTACTTCAAGAGACCGAACCTAAGAGTAATTGGACTTCCAGAGGCAGAAAGAGAGGCAGACATCACCCTGGAACAAACATTCCACAAAATTATTCAAGAAAATTCCCTCATTTCATCAGTGATGCAAAAATTCAAACATAAGAACCCCTGAAAGACAACACATGAGAAGAACAACCCCCAGACACATAATAATTCACCTAAACAAAGTA